TCTGGCATTTTATAGTCCAGTTGCATACTGGCTAGCTTCATATGCAATTGCCCTGCAGCAGTCTGCCAATGGAAAAACTCACTCGTAGGTATGAATGTGTCCCCAAGGATCATCAGTCAAAGAAGGCTTTTAATGTGAGAGATTGAAACCAAAACAAACAAATGTCAGGAACTGACCTGAGAATCAAAGACATTAAAAGAACAGACACAGACTTTTTTTCCCCTTTAAATTTATTGGTATATTGAAAGCAAACAATACAGTTATATTCATCATTGGAATCTTGTGCCTTTATATGACAGATCTTGGTTCTCATTTTTTCCCCATGCCCCTGCCCTCCCTTCACCCCTTTCACTCTTCCCTAATATTTACAAAGACTTTGTTTCCATTTTTTCCTTTTTTCACATTTTGTCTCTTCCCTTATTTCCTCTCCCCTCCCCTTCCCACTCCTCCTTTAGCCCTTTTCTTCCTATTTCACACTATCAGTTAAACCATTTGAACCTTATTTACATTTTTAGTTTTTCACACCAGAGAAACTATTCAGAAGACACAGACCTTTAACAAAGCAGTAAGTAGTGACCTGAGATAAATCTGCAGACTCCCCATCCTATTATAATAACAATAATAATGACTATGATAATAGCTAATATTTATTGAGAACATACTGTCTGTACTGTTCAACAAACCCATGATATGGAAACTAAGATGCACAGAAATTACAGAACTCACAGCAGGTTCAGAAACTTGGATTCAAATTCAGGTCATCTGAATTTAAAATTCTTGCTCCATTATCTCCTGCTCTTTTGGCCAGGATCCAGTGTAGTGAAACACATACCCTTATACACTACGGTGGGCTTTCTCAAGTATCTTATCAAAAGAGGAATGAAGACAAGGAATCCTCTTAGCAATGAACTCATGTGTTTGACAAACATGTATTCAGAGCCTTCTGTTGACCAAACACCATTCTAGGTGTCCACAATCCTGCAATAAACACAGCATGCAGAGTCCCGGCTCTCATAAATTGAAAATTAAAAAGTCAATATGAGAAAGAAACTAAAGTGAAAGAATTACACCAGAGAACTTAGTAAAAATTACAGGAGGGCCAGGGATTTAGCTCAGTGGTTCTGGTGCCTGCCTCACAAGCGCAAGGGCCTGAGTTCGATCCCCAGTACCAAAAAAAAAAAAAAAAAAAGAA